TTGTTTGCTTTCCACAAGCGCTCACTGAGCATCTGCTGCATACACTGCGCACAGAGGCTCGGCTCCTGCCTGTGTCCTGCGGGCTTGCGAGCTCCCAGAGAAGGACGTCGCGTGGGTTTCCTGACGCTGGGCTGGCAGATTGTCCTAAACTTGGTGGCTTGAGACAATGCACATTTTCTCAGGAGGTCAGACACCAAGCAGGCTTCTGTGAGTTAAAGTCACGGGGTCGGCAGGCTGTGTTCCTCCTGGAGGCTCGGGGAGACCCCCAACTCCTCGGTTCGCGGCCGCTGCCGTGTATCACTCCCTCCTTCCCATATGAGGACCCTCGTGTGACACAGGACCCGCCTGGGTGACCCAGGAGAATCCCCCCATCTCAAGAGCCTTGACTCGACCACACGTGCAGAGTCCCCTTGGCACGTGGGATACCGCGGTCACAGGCTCACGAGGTCAGACGTCGACAAATGGGAGGAGCCCTGTGTCCTGCTGCCCGAGACACAGGGCCACCGTCCGCCGCATCCCGGCAGGTTTCCTTGTAGAGGTTCATGCAGAGGGCCCCTCGGGGGTGTGGCGCTCCAGCCTGTCCAATCACAGGGAGGAAGAGGAAGGGGGGCTTTGGCGTGAGCACCCCAAATGTCGGAGCATGGCTGGCCAGTCGGTAGGGCATCTAGACAAGTGGGGGAAGTTCGTGTGGCCAAACCCGAGGCCATGCTGTGTGGCTTAGCCCTTATACCCAGGGCTGATGTCTGCAGAAGCCCCTTTTCCCTGGGGAGAAGGAGGGATTTGTCATCACTTGCAGCAGTAAGGGGAGCGCCAGGGACCTGTCCCAAAGCAGCGCCTCCCTCTGCGACCCTTGTGATCACATGTTCCCGTTGGTTACACCCGGCTTGGCTGTCACCCTAAATGTGTGTGTCAGTGTGTCTGTGAATTGCACGTGTATGGCTGTGCTGACATCGCGCATACGTTACAAGATACATAAAAACCAGGTGTTTACAGACAGAACCCCTGGGTTGTCGCTGGACACACGACCTCGTCTCCCAGGCTCCCGTGTGCCCAGGCGTGGTCACAGGGCTGACGCCATGCGAGCAGATGAGCCACTGGCAACTTCTGGGTCCTCTCTTTGAAGACAGAGTGCCTTCCTGAGTCCTGTTTTTGGTCTCCCTGTGTTCCTGTAACAGAGACCAGACGACACTGTGGGGACGGAGGAGCCACAGGCCCTGTACAGTGACCCTGAAGCACAGTCCACCCGCGTCCAGACGGCTCCAGGAGAGACATCTCAGCCAGGTGGCTGTTGTCGCCCCTTGCAGCCGCCTGGATTTCAGCCTGGTAAGTACATAGTGTTCAAGGTTGTGTTTAAGCTCGGGTTGCGTTTACTCAGGACTTGGCCGTGAGATGTGCAACAAGCCCTGCCTGGAGGAAGGACGCTCACGGCCCCTTCCTACCTCCTTTTCAGGGAGCCGTGGAGGTTTTATCACCATCATCGTTACTATTATACACAGCAGCGTAAGGACACGGGGTATGAAGCAGCATTTAAGGCGTGATGACCTGTGAGCCTTGCCAGGAGCTGCAGGGCCAGCCTCGGACTGAGGTCCGCCACCGTCTGCACAGTGGTGTGACCCACGTGCGCCACCTGGACACCATGTTGGCCGGTGGCCTGCAGGGGACAGTCTGGCTGAGCGAAGGTGCCGTGGGTGACCTGAATGCTGAAAGTTTACAGGACTGGATTTCTTAGAAGTCTGTGCAGCCCTGGGGTGCCTGCTGCTCCAGGCGTGGGGCACCCCGGGAGCTCGGGAGTCATGCTCTCGTTTGCTTTGGAAGATGGTCAGACCGGCCACGGACCGGAGGTGCCGAGACCAGGTGCAGCACGGACTGTCCTCAGAGACGGGCCCACAACCATGCCCTCAGGTGCGCCCGCTCCACCGGCTCCGGGGCGAAACGGCCCCCTGCTGCTGGTCTCCAGATGTCTCGCGTCCCTCGTTTGTTCCCTTCACCCCGGCCACCCCTCTCAGTAGTATTTTCAGCAAAGCTTCTGTGTTAATGCTGTCCGTCCGGGCGAACTGTGATTCCTGCTGGGACGTGGCGCTACCACCACCACCGCTACCTGCCCCACTCCCGCTCCCGGCAAGAGGCTTCCAGAAATCTCCGAGAGGGCCGCAAGCCAGTGCTCTCAGTCCAGGTTACC